AGCAAATATTCACGCAGCTTCTCACGCGCCAGGCCCTGAAAGGAAACAGCACCACACCACCGCCATCACCAAAAGGCCAAAAAGCCATCCCCTCTGCAGTTCTCACATTCAGCCAGCAGAGGGAGCCAAGGACCAGCTCTGCCAGCGGAGGGAGCAAAGGACCAGCTCTGCCAGCAGAGGGAGCAAAGGACCAGCTCTGCCAGCAGAGGGAGCAAAGGACCAGCTCTGTGCTAGGCTGATGACAGGCAGCGCTGGAGATGAGGGGAACTGGGTGGGCAACGGCCTCAACTGGGCAGCCACAGACTGCTGGGGACAAAGAAGTCTTGGATCTCCTTTCAGGCGTTTGGAGCTACAATGAAGGAGCCCTGGGGAGATCTAAGAACAGTCCTGGGAAGATGAGGAAAGAGCAAGGGAAGTCTTGTGTAGAACCAGCCTACTCCACTCGGACAAAAAGGTCAGAGGATGGAGGAACTGGCAAGGACCTCAGGTGCAAAACCACGTCCTCCTTGGTCACTGCTAAGCCCTCAGCCACAAGCACTAAATAGTGAGACCCCACTTCAACCTCCCAACATTCTGCTGTCCTCAGTGGAAGGGGAAAAAGGGTTCTTCTACCTTTTCCACTGTATTAGGTGAAGGTGGAGGAACCCTATCAAGAAAGATTTGAGAAGGAAGTGTAGGCGCATTCAAGGCAAATTCAGCTAGGACTGGCCAGTGTCCGGAGACAGCAAGCTTAAATAATTCAAAGGCATTGCAAGGTTAGCTGTCAGTCTCCGCATACAACAGAGTGGCTACAGGTGTCGCTGTCCCAGCAACTAAGTGCTCAGGACGTCACTAAGGAGCTGAGGAGAACAGGAAAGCAAAACAGTGACTCAGCGCCGCCCATCCCGCATTACGCGTGTACTAGAGAGGATGTCACAGAAGCTGATTACTGAAAGACACCCTGTTACCTCATGTGATCCCTTCTGGCTATGAAACGAAAGATTTGGGGCTCTCCAATATCTTCCCTGAGTTTCTTAGTTTTCACAGGCCTAAAATGTATAAAACCAGCTGTTCCACCTCCTCAGCATAAGCTGTTATTGATCACTGTTTTCAGTGATGCATGGCCGTATCTATAGGGAAGTTAAAAAACAAAACAGCAACAAAATCAAAATCCAATGAGGCACCACAAAGTGAAGTTTGCTGTGTGTAAATTAGAAAATAATTAACTAGGATACAGGGGAAAGCCGAAGTGCAGCTAGTGACAAATGACTGTTTGACAAGTGAATCATAACCACACTGAGTGGAGACGGAGCCAACCTAACTAATGTTAGCAAACAGTTTTGACTGGATACTGTAAGGCTAAAAACAAAAAGAACTGTACAAGAAAACTGTAATCTAGTTGATAAATTTGTTTCTCCCAGGATTATGGTTTGAGAATTTTGAAACTACATGTACCTTAGGTTTGAACAAATAAGTTAAAAGACCGTAGATATTAACAGCCAGGTTTCCTCACTGTAGAAAAAATAAGATACAAATAAGGAAAGGGGGAAGGCTAGAATGAATCTTGTGGTGCTGGACTAGAGTCAGAGGTATTAGTAGACTCATACTTTTAATATATATACAGATAGATACAAAAATAAGTACAGATGTGTGTATATGTGTGGGTTTGTGTGTGTGTATGTATGAATGTGTATTTTTTCTCCTAGACCTATCCACTGAGGTGGCCTAGAAGCACCCCAGTGTCACTGAGCACACCTATGCCCAGATCTTGATTTCTATACCATTCTCCAATAAGAGGAACCAGAGCTCTTTGGATCAGTGGCTAATTCCATGGCTAGGGCAAAGAAAGTACAAGATGAGCATAGACTTTATGGTGCCAAAGAAACAAAGATGTGCTTAAAGGAAAAAAAAAGATGGGGGCATGTCAAAAGGACACAGGAGCCAGCCTAAAAGCACTCCCAATGGCCAAAGTTAAGCAACGGAACTAATAATAGTATTGGATTATAACCCAAAGAATAAAATATACATGAATCCATACTGATATAATTGGATAATGAAAATTAAATAAAATAAATGAATTGGAGGGGGGTAGGGGAACTCTTCCTTTCAAATTCCAATTAATAAATACAGAATGAGGGAAATAGAAAAATCACCATTGGAACGCCACAGTAATAACTACTGCAGGCAAGATCCACCAATGGATGGTAAAACAAGTGAAAGCTTATACGGGATTAGGATATTTGCCTGATCTCAAAGTATCTCCCCCAAAAATGTATTAATTAAGAAGGGCAAAATAGTAACTTTACCAAAGTGAAACCTGGCAGACAGCACCTTGACTAAATGATCATGGCTGACACCAATAGAAATACATATCCTATAGGGTTGCTATGCATCGGAATTGACTCCACGGCAACTTTTTTTTTAACTATGAAGCGAAGAAAAGGGTATATATCACCTCTGTGGTATCCTTCCTATAATGCAAAACCTCAAACTAACCATGGCAAACAGCTGGCAAACTTAACTTGAGGGGCTTCTATGAAATAACTGACGAGTACTCAAAAAGGAGCCCTGGTGGCGCAATGATTAAGTACTCGGCTGCTAACTGAAAGACTAGTGGTTCAAACCCACCAGCTGCTTCACAGGAGAAAGATGTGGCTAGTCTGCTTCCATAAACATTTACAGCCTTGGAAACCCTCCGAGGCAGTTCTACTCTGTCCTACAGGGTCGCTATGAGTTGGAACTGACTTGATTTGGGGTTTCTTTTACTCCACAAAATGTCAGTATTCTGAAACACAGGGAAGTCTGAGGAATAACCACAGATGAAAGGAGATTCGGGAGACTGACAACTAAATGCGCTGTGGAGTTCAGAACAGAGAAAAACACCAGAAAAACTGGTGCCATCCAGATAAAGAAGTGGTTTCTTTCATAGTATTGTACCGATCTTAATTTCTTAGTTTTGATCATTGTTCTATGGTTATGTAAGATTTTAACACAAGGCAAACAGAGTGAAGGGTCTACTGGAACACTTTGTACTGCTTTTGCAACCCTTCTTTAAGTCTAAAATGATCTCCAAATATAAAAAATAATTGAGAGAGGTCTTACGGAGGAAATCCAATGAGGAAAGTCAGCTGACTAATCACTTGGCCATCCGAGACATAAGAAATTCGGCACCGTATAATCAAGCTGGGTAAACTACACGACCACAGTTGTGTTTTCTGAGTCTAAGGAATCAATAATCGGGCAGTTCAAAAACCACACGCTGACTGGGTTTGACATTTTTATTTTTAACTCTACTTTGGTAGTACAAAAGTCTTAAAAGTACAAACCAGTTAAATACACACTTGACACTCAAAACAGTGGAAATTTTCCTTTACAGATTTTTACACCCAGACGGTTGCCGACTCATTTATTATGCCGCAAAGCTGCCCGTCATTAGTGTTTAGCATGTGATTTGCTGTGGATCCCCAGTCCTTCTAAAAGAGGAAGGAAAACACAAGACCTGTAAACATCAGTTGCTTTGGGAACACGTAAGAATTATCACTAGACAATATAAACTAGTAAAAAGCTTACATGGTGAAAGTATCAAATGCTTAACATTTGGCATATTTGAAAGCCAGCCAGACAAAAACTGCTCAAGTATTAGAAAATATTCAAAACATACTCTTGGTATAAATACAATTTTAAATATTTATGAGTATTCTCTTGTTGTCTGTTGTATTGCTCTTTAAAAAAGTGCTCTGACCTGAATAAAATTAAAAAATAATTAAAGCTGAGGAATATTTTACATTTTATCCCTCACCATTTTGAGGGCACAATATTTTTAATGCAAAAAAGGATGCTTTTTTGTTTGTTTTTAACAACTGGTCTTGACCACACATATATTTATTTACACTAATACACACAAAACGGAGAAGTTCCTATACTGCAACTTTCTGACCTCAGTGAAGTTGATTTCCACGCTGACTTCTTCTACCCCACTGTGTATACATACATGCACACAGTGTGCGCTTTTCAGAGTTGTCAGAAAAAATGCACATTACATTGAGTCTACCTTTCATTTAAAAGGTTAGAAATTTTACGTTTGGTGCCAGAAACAGAACAGAATGAGTATATTTACAGTAAATACTTTAAAATATATTTTAATGGAAATTATCTTTTGGGAGTCAAATGAGAAACATGGTTTTTATCACTGAAATAGAAGAAGTGTCTGCGGCACCACACCAGCAACACTGACACGGAGGAGGGCTTGGCGCTTCCCCAGACGGCAGGGGGCCCTCGCCCCAGACCTACCATAAATGTACTACTACCTTTGCCTCTGGGTTCTTTCAGGTGTTCCATGAACTATGTAAAGCTAAAAAAAAAAGAATAGGCTTTGCCAGGCCTAAAGGGGAATTTAACCACAAAAAGTCTTTTAAATAACAAGCATTAGTTACAAGATGGAAACCAGGAAGTGCACCAAGAAAAACATGCCAGAGGTAGATTCAGGCCCATCTTTCACCAGAAGTGGGTTTTTTTTTTGGTTGTTGTTTTGTTTGGTCTTGGGTAATCAAAATAAGACGATTTTGCCTGAATTACTTTAAACCATTTTCTGCCTTTATTCAAAGGGCCAACAAGAATTGCTTGTCTCACGTTAAAAACAAATAATGAAACCATCAATCTTTTAGAAGCAACCGAGGGGTGGCGTGGTGGAGGCAGGAGTGAGTTAGTGCTGAATTCATGGTCCAGGTATCCAAAGTCTAGGATCTGGTCCCATCCAACTCCATGATCTCGTGGGGGATCAGTTTCTCAAGGCTAGATTATCTCCAAGGACTTTCCTCCACCAAAGATTCACCTTTTACATTTTGTAACAGTTTAACTGTAAGAGGGTCTTCTTACAACCAGTATCAAAAAAGGGACATAAGGGTTAGGGGAATACACAAACACCCACCCACCCACATACACACACACACCCACACACACACACACACACACACACCGATGCACACATGTGCATGCACGCACGCACGCCTGCGTCCCCCAGGCATAAGCTCAAATTCCACTGTATATCATACAGGAAAAATTGCAGGGTGTACATCAAGGCAGGGGATGGAGAACTGGGAGGGATGGTGGCTGGGGGGTGGCCAGGAAGATAAAAAATGGGCTTTTTCCTTCTCTGGATATGTAAAATTTTTCAGCAGACTTTTTAAACCAACACTGTTTCAAAGCAAACAGAATTCTGTATCCAGCGTAGTACCAATATTCCCTTTTAGGTCTGATCCACATGCCTGCAGACTCCATGATAGAAACTATAAAAGATACAAAAATATCCCCTAGGCAACTTCATAGCTCATTAAGTTTCAGTCTCTTAGAACTCTTCAAACAGCCACTCCTGCGGGAGAAAAGAAAAAAGGCAAATCTTTACAAAAGGTTAATGTCCTTTTTAACCTGCTTGAATATTTAAACACTGAGGAGTCATAATCCACCCTTACCCAGTCCCACCTCATCCCTCTTCCCATTTTACCTCTCTTCTTTGTAAAAAGGAGTTTAAGTATCACAATTCCAAAAGGACTTCATTATTAAAATTTTACAAACCAAAAAGAATAGACTCTGTGGACACGAGCAGACCAGGAGCATCAGTCCATTTTAACAACACGTCTCTAAGGTGACAGGTGAGCATCCTCCCTGCGTTCATGTTCACTTCTTAGGTGCATGTTTTGTATTATTATTATGATTGTGGTAAATATATATAACAAAACATTTGCCATTTCTATTTTTTTTTTTTTGCATTAACCATTCAGTGACATTAATTACGTTCATCATGTTGTATAATCATCACCATTATCTGTTTCCAAATTTTTCCATCACCCTTAACAGAAACTCAGTGCCCCCTAAGCAGTGACTCCTCCTCCCCCCCCCAACACCTCTGGTAACCACTAATAAACTCTGGTTCCTATACCATTGCCTGTACTAGATATTCCATGTAAGTGAGATCAAACACTATTTGTCATTCTGTGACCGACTTATTTCACTCAGCATAATGTCTCCAAGGTTCACCCATGCTGTAGCGTGTATCAGGACTTCGCTTCTCTTCGTGGCTGAGTAAATGTTCCATTGTACATATGTGCCACATTTTGTTTATCTGTTTATCTGCTGATGAACATTCAGGTTGTTTCTACATTTTGGCTACTGAGAATAGTGCTGCAATGAACACTGGTGTTCAAGTCTGTTTGTGTTCCTATTTTCAATTCTTTGGGGTATGTACCTAGGATGGGAATTGCTGGGCCATATGGTAATTTTATATTTAACTTTTTGAGGAACTGCCAAACTGTTTTCCACCATGGCTGAACATTTACAGTTCCACCAGTAATGGATGAGGGTTCTAATTTCTCCACTTCCTCGCCAACATTTTTTTTGTTTTCTGTTTTTTTGAATCATAGCCATCCTATCCATTGCCATCGAGTGATTCTGACTCATAGCGACCCTGTAAGACACAGTAGGACTGCCCCATAGCATTTCCAAGGCTATAATCTTTACAGAAGCAGACTGCCATATCTTTCTCCCGCGGAGCAACTGGTGGGTTTGAACTGCTGATCTTTTGGTTGGCAGGTGAGCGCTTTAACCACTGCACCACGAGGGCTCCTTATAGCCATTCTAGTGGGGGTGAAATGGTATCTCACTGTGATTTTGATTTGCACTTCCCTAATACCTAATGACGTTGAGCATCTTTTTATATGTTTTTTTGGCCATGTGCATATCTTCTTTGGTGAAATGTCTGTTCAAGTCCTTTTGCCCATTTTTTGACTGGGTTGTTCGTCTTTTTGCTGCTAAGTTGTAGTTCTTTACAGATTCTGGATATTTAACCCTTATTCGATATATGGTTTGGGAGCATGCTTTTGAACTCCTCTGCCACATCTGTAAAGTAATGAGCAATAAGGTGAACATCCTCAGTCACCAGGAACTTTATATGCATCGTGGTGAAGTGTCTTTCCTAAGCAGCACCAAATGGAGTTAACTCTGGAGCTCTAATGAGCACACAGCACAGCCTGGCTGGGATTTCACTGGGTCAGGGAGAATGCAAAGATAAATCCTGGGTCTTCAACTGGACCTTGAGGGTTCTGTACAGCCATTCTCCAGGTTATGAATGAGATCCGTTCCTAACTGTGTCTTCAAGTTGAATTTGTAGGTAAGTTGGAACAAGTGCATATGGTCTTATTTAGCCTTACTTTAGTGCAAGCAGAGCCCTGGTGGCGCAGTCGTTAAGAGCTATGGCTGCTAACCAAAAGGCTGGCAGTTCAAACCCACCAGCTGCTCCTTGGAAACCCTATGGGGCAGTTCTACTCTGTCCTGTAGGGTCGCTGTGAGTCGGAATCAGCTCAACGGCAATGGGTTTGGTTGGTTGGTTAGTACAAGAAAAGGCTGAAAGCCTTTTCAATGATTTAAAAGCTGTACATGCAGCAAGTGAAGGTAACTGTGAAGAAGAATTTGTTGGGAGCAGGGGTTGGTTCAATCATTTCAAAGTGAAAGCAAATGTACATGACATTAAACGGCAAGTATGAGTTGTCCATAAATCAGACATTCCTAACGTGGGGACTGCATGTATTATATTTTGAAGTCATTCTAACAACTAGTCTTTGTCAATGTTTACATTTACATTAGAAATAAAGTACAATAGTTTTATACTTTCCAAAGGGCTTCTTACAAGTATCTCATCAACAGTTATGTAGGCTTTTAATTCCTGTTTTGAAGACTGAAACAATCCAAGACCAAAATTCTAGAACTGCCTGTGTGTGTTGAAATGTCTCAGGCAGGTAAACGTAAACAAGGCTAAGGAACAAAACACTCTTTTAATCATCCGAAACAGTGTTTACTTACAAAGACTAAACAAAACCGAAGATGAAACCACATTGCGGAGATATGGCAAAACAGCAAAAAAGCCGAGACAAGTCTTAATTTAAGAACATGCTTTTTACTTATTTTACAGGTCATCCTTCCAGATGTATAGTCTAGGGTATATTATCCATATTATCCTTTCATGTCATTCATAAAATTCATAGTGGTTATGTGAGAGAGAGAGGGGAGGAGGAGAAAGAGACAGAGTGAAACAAAGAAAGGAGAGATTTTCCAAACAAGACGGACTGGGTAAAAGGACCCTCATCCCCTTAGCTACAAAGGAAATGAAACAGTGTCCCTAAAGCAGCACAAATCAAGTTTTTAATTACAGATGAAATAAGTAAATGCTTGCACTGCATTGCCACAGCCTAGCATGGCTGTACCACGGATTGTCCTGTAGGCTGAACAAAGTCAAGTCTTGGAACACTTTCAGTTGAGAGTCAGTTAATATGAAAGATGCTAGCAGGCAAAAAGGTAGAAAGGCCAGAGGTGGCGTAATCTAAAAATAGTCCTAAAAGAAACTAAAGAAGTAAAAAACAAGAGAGAATTTTCCCAGTAAAACTTTAAACCAGGCCATTATCAGGAAAATAGGCATTCAACTATTTTTATGTCTCCTCTTATCACCT